AAAAAAAAAAAAAAAAACCCAACAAACAATGACATAGAAAAGGATATTCCAATTCCACTGGATATCCTTGAGGTCATTCTTGGGCTGAGAGTGACATCATAGAATAACTCACTCTGGTGTAGACCACAGGCTCCTGTTTCTTCACTTGCTATTGCCAGGCTGGTGCCCTGGCAGGGGCAAGCGAGATGCCATGGGTCCCTTCATGGGGGTGTGGAGTGCACCTAAATCACCCATTCTGACAGTTCGCCTCAGACCCCGGTGGCTGACCTACTTCTGTTGACCCCTGAGTGTTTGAACACCAAGTGAATCATGCCCAGCCCAGCTGCTCTGAGCTGAAACCATTCTGTGTGTATGTGCCCATCATCTGCGGGCCCTTGAGGCTGCCCGAGCCTGTGGGGTCAATAGCATGAAAGCATGTGGCACCCCGCCAAGCTGCAGCTTTGCTCTCTGATGGCCCTTCACAGGGACACGTGGCAGCAACTGCCATCTGGCAGGACTAGGGGAAGAAAGGTAAGGAAGAGAAGTCAGAGAAGTAAGAAAGAATGAATTACCTTGTTGATACCTTTGGTGACCAAATTGATTGCGAGCTCATGGCTGATGCCATCCACCCAGCAGACATCCTTTTCTCCAATGGGTTCAGAGAGGAAGGCTCTCAGCCTGGGAGACATGTGGTCCATCTCCTGCGACAGCAGTGGGGAGAGAGGAGGATTAGCAGATACCTGACTGCTCCCAGTGTGCATGGACACTGGGGAACTCCCTCAGCCCACCAGGGACTGGGGCAACAGATGGCAGAACTCCTTCCGTCATCCAGCATTTCCTGGGGTCTGCTAAACGCAAGTGCACTGGCCTCCACTAAGGCCTTCACACATCCATTCCTACCTGGATGGACCAAGAGAAGCCTAATGATGGCCACAGATGTGTCGAATAAATTTCCATGAAAATAGTGTGCTTAATATTAAGAACTGCAGTGGGTTCTTTCCAACTCACTCCATTCTAAATGCCTAAAGCAACAACTTGCTTCTCTTTGCTAATTAACCCACCTTCTCTCTTAACCACCCAACACTTTAGTCATACTTTTATTTCAGTGTTCATCACACTCTATAATAGTGTAAACTCGCTAGAAACTCTTCACACTGGCTCAAATCGTAAAGAACACATTCTAGAAATCCAAAGCCTGCAGGTGGCAACGGGTCGCAGCTTCATTCCTTGGGGATTCTCCAGCTTTCCCTCCTTGTGTTGGCTTTATTCTTGCTTGGCTCCCCTCACACTGGTGAAAGAGCTGCTCCTGCACTCATCGGCCTCACCAACTCCACCTCGAAAGAAGGAAGAGAAGATGGCTTTTGCTTAAGTCGCCTCATTTGTTGCCTGTGCTCCAACTTTAGCCAGATAAATCAGCTTTCCCAAACAGCAGGACTTGCTCATCAATTTCCTGCAACTGCAGATTGCAGGCCCCAGGCAAAAAGACTCTCTCTCTTAGCAGAACTATTTTCATCCCTCTCCACTTTTAAATGGACCACCATCTCCCAGAAGCTGAGTCTCCTAGGACCTTAATGAAGACTGCCAGAGGTAGCCAACATCCTGAATATTTCCTGGAAGATCTCAAAATATCATGGGCTCCATAAGCATTAGGTCTGCATGCCGGCAAAACTGGCCATTTTGTTAAATGAGGGTTACCATCTTCCTAGTTTTTTGTTTTGTTTTGTTTTTGTGATGAAGTTTCACTCTTGTTGCCCAGGCTGGAATGCAATGGCATGATCTTGGCTCACTGCAACCACTGCCTCCTGGGTTCAAGCGATTCTCTTGCCTCAGCCTCCCAAGTTGCTGGGATTACCGGTGTGCGCCACCGCGCCTGGGTAATTTTTGTATTTTTAGTAGAGACAAGGTTTCACCATGTTGACCGGGCTGGTCTTGAACTCCTGATCTCAGGTGATCTGCCCACCTGGGTCTCCCAAAGTGTATTACAGGCATGAGCTACCGCGCCCAGCCGCCATCTTCCTAGTTTGATAGAGACATCTTTGCTGCTCTCCGCCTGAATGTCTCTTAACCAATCCACGTTTAAGGTTTGTTCATTGTAGCATCCCCTTCCTGGTACAAAATTCTGTGCCAGTTTGGACAGTTTATGATGAAAGTATCAGAAAACTCAGTGTAAATCAGTTTACATAATAAGGAGGTGTTATTAGCACATACTACCAAAAAGTCCAGAGGTAGATCAGATGTGGCTTGAGCAAGGCTCCAACTTGATTTCCCGGCAGCTCTCTCGACTCAGTCTTTCTTTGTGAATGGGCTCAGTCCTCAGTTTAACTCCTTCGTGGAAGTAACTGGGCTGCAGCATCGCTTTTGCAAGCCACAGCCTTCTCCCCCCAAAAAACACAAAGATGTCTTTTCCTAGAGGCCCCCAACAAATGCCCTCTCTGGTTCAAACCGTAATATGCCAACCCCTAAAACAAAATTTATGGCCTGTGTGTTCTATGTCTGGGCTCAGCAAGGGAGTCAGTGCCCCTCAAAGCCCATGGGTTGCAGGGGTGGGGCTGGGGGAACCAAAATCAAGATAGTTCTCCTGTTCCTGGGGATAGTTACCCCATACCATCTGTGACTATGTTACAGGAATGACCCAATGTCCTCCACACATTCCCCAGTAGATCATGAGGCCCCCAAGGACTGCAGCTGCCTCCTAATGGCCTTTGCTCCCCACTCCAACACCAGCCCCTCTGCCGAGCACATGGCAAGTATTTGATGACATAAATGATCAGGTGCATCCAACGCCTCCCTTTCACAGCCCCGTCCCCTCTCCTGTCCCCGCCCTCCCCATTCTCCTCCAGACCTTTCTATAAAGTCGAACTCCTCGTGGACACCTTCTTGCCCCGAAGTACGTTGTGTAACACTTCAGAAGACACTGAACTCTCCCAGAAGAGATGAATCCAAAGGCACTGATTTTGGTAGTCAGGGGGCTCCTAAGAAAAGTGGCGTTGATGTGTCAGCAGATTCTAGGAAGGGGAGCAAAAGACAATGAGAGGTTGTTCAGGGTCCCCTGACTCTGTGGGTCTTAAATCCACAGATGTGTGAGCCGAGGGCATCGACCTCTCTTCAGCAGCTAAATAGGAATCTGTCTCTTCATCTGTGAAAATATGTTTCGTAAGTACAAGATGGTGTTTAACACAGGTGTTAACAGGAGAACGCCTCAGCACCCATGGCTTTATGGGATGATGAATTGGGATTGAGAATTGGGATTGATGAATTGGGTAAGAATCCAGAATTTCTGAGCAAGGAAAAGCCTGAAAGTCTCATGAGCCGCTCTGCCTTTGCTGAGGGAAAATTCCATTCACTATCCATGCTGGCCATCTGTTAAGTTAAACATCTCTGCCTATGAAATCTAAGAATAAATGGAAACTACAACATTGCTATCAATGCATCAGCAGCATCAAAGACGGGTAATGGTTAGTAACACCTTGTGTGTGTTTGCTTTTCTCACACACCTGATCTCACTTTGATCCTTGCAACACCTCTGGGGCGGGGACATAGGCAGTGATTTTTGCCCTCCTGGGGCTCTCCAGCAACGTCGGAAGTCAGAATAAAAAGGTCTTCACATTCTTTACCACTCCTTTGGCTGCAACAGTGGTGTTCAACTGGGGGCCATTGGCCCCCATCCCCAGGGAACATTGGTAATGTCCAGAGACACTCGAGTTGTCACGCCTGGGAGAGGGGGAAGGACTATTGGCTCTAGGGGGCAGAGGCCAGGGCATGGCATCCTGCCATGCACACAACCAACACACAACAAAGAATTATCTGGCCCTAGGTACACAACCACCCACAACAAAGAATTATCTGGCCCTAGGTACACAACCACCCCACAACAAAGAATTATCTGGCTCTAGGTGTCAATAGCATAGAGGTTAAGAAACCCTGGGTTACAAGTAATGAAAAATCCTGCCTCATGTGGTCTGAAACAATAAATACATTTCTAATCTCATATAACAAGAAATCCTTTGATGAGGTGGACCCAGGATCTTATCAGTCAATAACTCTATGTGAACAAGGGCCAGGATAGCTGCTCCCAAGGTCCCAAGATGCCTCCAGAATTTGCTTGGGTCCCATTCCAATGTGCAAACTTCCAAAGAGGCTGGGCGTGGTGACTCACACCTGTAATCTCAGCACTTTGGGAGGCTGAGGCAAGCAGATCACTTGAGGTCAGGAGTTGGAGACCAGCCTGGCCAACATGGTGAAACCCCATCTCTACTAAAAACACAAAAATTAGCCAGGCGTAGTGGCATGCGCCTGCAATCCCAACTACTCGGGAGGCTGAGGCAGGAGAATCACTTGAACCTGGGAGGTGGAGGTTGCAGTGAGCCAAGGATCACGCCACTGCACTCCAGCCTGGACAACGGAGTGAGACTCCGTCTCAAAAAAAAAAAACAAAAACAAAACAAAACAAACTTCCAAAGGAAGGAGAGGCCTTTTCTTCTTGCGTGTCCTTAAGGGGAGGCAACCTCTCCCAGAAACTCTCCAGTGGAACTTCCTTTAGTTTCATTGGCCAGAACCAGGCAACATGCCCACCTGTAAAGCAGCCACTGGTCAGGGGAGTGGGACCGCTATGGGGGTGGATGAGGTGAGCCTCCTCTGAAACATGAGGCTACTCAGAGAATGTCAGTTTCTGTAAGAAGGAAGGAAGGAAGGAAGGAAGGAGGGAGGGAGGGAGGAAGGAAGGAAGGAAGGAAGGAAATGAATGCTGGGTAGGCAAACAACAATGTCTGCTACATCTTCTGATCTTCTAAACCCTGGTCTAATATTTGGTTCATTACAACTCTAGCACTTCTCAAAGTGGAGTGAGTGCACGAACCACCTGGGGGTTTTTTGTTTAAAAATGCAGGTGCTGACTCAGCAGGTCTGGGACAGGCCTCAGATACTGTGTGTGTGACCAGCTCCGAGGAGAGGTGACGCTGCTGCCCATAGACCTCACTTTCACCGGCAAGACATTCATGATGCCACTTACTCTTTGTATGTTATTGCATGAATTGTGGTAAAATATATCTAACATAAAATGTCCCATTTCAATTATTTTTAAGTGCACGGTTCAGTAATGTGAAGTGTATTCACATTGTTGTGCAACCGATCTCCAGAACTCTTTTCAACTTGCAAAATTGAAACTCCATACCCATTGAACAGCAAGTCTCCATGTCTCCCTGCAACCCCTGGCAACCACTATTCTACTTTCTGTTTCTGTTAAAATGACTACTCTAGATACCTCATATAAGTGGAACTTACATATAAGTGGAACTGTGTAGAACTTGCCCTGCAGATAATTTGAAAAGAAAAAAAAAATTTAAGTGGAATTATATGATATCTGTCCTTTTGTGTCTGGCTTATTTCACTTAGCATAATGTTCTCAAGGTTCATCCATGCTGCAGCATGTCTCGGAATGTCTTGCCTTTTTAAGGCTGAACTATATTCTATTGTATGTACACAACACATTTTGTTTATTCTTCATCTATCGCTAGATGTTTGCGTTGCTCCCACCTTATGGCTATTGTGGATAATACTGCTATGAACATGGGTACACAAATATCTCTTTGCGAACCTGCATTCAATTCTTTTGGGTATATACCCAGAAGTGAAATTGCTGGATCATATGGTAATTCTATTTTTAATTTTTCGAGGAATTGCCATACTGTTTTCCAAGCGACTG